CACACACACACACACACAGAAGTAACTTTGTAATGGATGGATTGCACAGTTGGGTGAATATAGATGGAGCCTACAGATGGATGTCTTAATTAGCTTGATCACAGTGATTATTTCACTGTGCCTACGTATACCTTAACCATCATGCCATATACCTAAAACATACAATTTTTATTTTAAAAAATAAAAATAAAAATGGTTATAGAGTGTTTCAGGGGCAAATATGCTAATTTCCCAGCTTTAAATTTTTTTTTAATGTTTACTTATTTTTGAGAGAGAGAGAGAGAGAGACAGAGAGTGAGGGGGAGGGACTGAGAGAGAGAGGGAGACACAGAATCTGAAGCAGGCTCCAGGCTCTGAGCTGTCAACACAGAGCCTGACATGGGGCTTGAACTCATGAACCGTGAAGTCATGACCTGAGCCAAAGTCAGACACTTAACTGACCGAGCCACCCAGACACCCTCCCTTCATGTGTGAATTTTAGATAGCTTCACTGGACTGTAGTTTGGGTTGTCCTATGTTATTAGACATATATTACACAGGAAGACACTTTGAGAAGGGAAAAAACATTGTCTGCCAATCATGCATGATAAAATTTTGTTGCTTATAGCAATATTGGGTTTTTCAGTAGTTTCAGTGGATAATAGACATTTTTGCATTTGAAATGGCTAAGAAATTGGGGGCACCAAATATATCATATCCAGGAAAACTTTATTTGAGATAGGGATTCGGGTTTCCTGTAAATCCCATGCAGCCTTCTGATCTCTGCTAGAAATACTGTCAGAAGTCAGAACGACAAAAGCATGCTTTCTCAAAATCGGGCCACATGTCTCTTGACATGGAGCCATCACATGGAGCTTAAGAAAAGTCACTGACACATGCATGATTTACTGCCTTTCTTTTCTGGTTCTGCTAAGATTTCTGAGGGACAGCAGTTTACGTCTCTGCCCTGATGGGTTGTTTTGTGCCTTCCCTGGGGACAAATACCCACCCAGTGAGGACGCTGCTGTTGCCATTTAGTAGTGGTTTTCAGGCCCCTATCTTCAGATCAAGTATAAAGCTAGACACATAAGATGTCTATTTGAAAGTCAACAGTATCAAGTGATTTTTTCCAGAAACACAGGTGCTACAAAGGTGATGGCAAATTGTAGTTTTGTTATTGTAATTTCAGACTTCATGTGAATTGTCTGTCTTTTATTGGGGTGAAAGATTCTCAGTGGCATCTATAGCTTACTCATTTATAATAGGGCCTTGAATTTACATAGCATTACAGTAACCAAGAATGGCACATGACATCCAGACTGAGAATCTGCGGGCACTTTATCTTTAAGAATGGCAACATCTTAAAGTTGGGGCGCCTGGGTGGCTCAGTTGGTTAACTGTCTGACTTCAGCTCGGGTCATGATGTCGCAGTTCGTGGGTTCGAGCCCCATGTCGTGGTCTGTGCTGACAGCTTGGAGCCTGGATCCTGCTTCAGATTCTGTCTGCCTCTCTTCCTCTCCCGGCT